CTGAGACAGTGGGGGCTGATCTATTGGGAGCTCACCAAGGCCAGCTGGACTGTGACTGAAAAAGCATGGGATAAAACCGGACTCTCTGATCATGGCGAACAATGAGGACTGATGAGAAGCCAAGGTCAATGGCAAGGGGTTCTGATCCTACTTCATGTTCCGGCTTGGTGGGAGCCTAGCCAGTTTGGATGTTCATCTTCCTAGACATGGACGGAGGGGGGAGGACCTTGGACTTTCCACAGGGCAGGGAACCATGAATACTCTTTGGATTAGAGAGGGAGGGGGAGAGGAGTGGGGGGAGGGGGAGAAGGATCGGGGAGGGAAATGGGAGGCTGGGAGGACGCGGAAACTTTTTTTTCTTATTCTCAATAAAAAAAAAATTTAAGAGGGGCTAGAGAAACGGCTTGGCAGTTAACAGAACTTAACTGCTCTTGCAAAGGATCCAAGTTCATTTCCCTGCATTCATATGGCAACTCACACCTGTTTGCAACTCCAATTCCAAGGAATCTAGCCTCCGTGAGCACCAGGCATGCACGATGCACATTGCACACACATACATGCAAGCCAAACATTTACATCCTTAAAATAAAGCAAACTTTAAACATGTGTAAGAGTCTGGGAGACAGATTGGCTGCTGAAGTGCTTGGCCAAGCACAAGGGCTGACTTTGGTTCCCCCAGGTAATAAAGACTGAGCTTGATGGTGCTCACCTGTAATACCTGTGCTGTGGGCGGGGGGGGGGGGGGGGGGGGGGGGGGGGGGGGGGGGGGGGGGAATGGATCCCTAGGGCTTCGCAGTCAGCCGTTTGGCAAGTTCTCAGGCAGTGAGAGACACACGGTCTAGAAAAAAAAGGTGACTCCTGTGTCCTGGTCCTAGTAAAATTTAAAATAAGAGCCTTTCTCTCTCTCTCTCTCTCTCTCTCTCTCTCTCTCTCTCTCTCTTTCTTTCTTTCTTTCTTTCCAAACTGGGTAATACTGTATAGCCTTGGAGATTGCCTTGAGTCTCAGAAGGGACTTGGGATTTTTTTAAACTGTATTGAGATTGTAGAAGTCTACTGGGACTTTAGAAGTTGGACTAACTACCCTTTCTATTCTATTATGATACAGCCATGGAAGTGGGATGTGGTGGTTTGAATGAGAATGGTGCCCATAGGCTTACATATTTGAAGGCTTGCTCTCCAGCGGTGGAACATGTGGGAAGTGTGATAATGTCAGTTTAGCTAAACTCAGGCAGCTTGGCACAACTGTAGGGAGCTTTTTATCATTGGATTATTTGAGGTGGGAGACTCATCCTAAATCTGGACTACATTTTCTGGTGGAGTCTACATACAGAAACAGGAAGAAGGAAGTGTTGGCTTTTTGCCTGCTTGCCCTCATCCTCACTGGCAAGTTCGTCTGTTCTGTTCCTATTGTATATTGGAAACAACAGTGAGTTTTCCCTAAAGGAGGTACCAGAAAGATAATACCCTCTGGGCCCTCTAGTAGTTGCCTCTAGATCTATAACCAGATTAAAACTAAACAGATTTCTAGAGGGGAGGCAGAAAGTGAAGTCCATGAGGAGGTGCACTACACTACTAAAGGACTTAATACATTTGCTAATTCATTCAAGCAGAAGTCTGGGGGATATGTGTGGGAATGGAAAAGTGTGTAAAACTTGATCAGGCTGAGTTTATTAATATGGACCCACTAAGGGAGATTCTAGCTTATTAAGGAAGCTTGCATGGTTAAATGTCTTTCCCTGGTCCTTCTCCAGAGGAACCTACGTCCTTTCACAAGGGTAACTGTACATTGGAGGAAAGGAAACAATCAGACTTTTCAGGGCCTATTGAATACTGGTTCTGAATTGATGCTGATTCTGGGAGACCTTAAAAAGCATTGTAACATCGAGGTAAAGTAGGGGTTTAGGGGGGTCAGGTTATTAATGGAGTTTTGACTGAAGTTTGATTCACAATGGGCTCAGGGAGACCTCAACTTACCCTGTAGTTATTTTGCCAGTATTAGAATGTATAATTGGTACAAACATAATCAGAAGTTGGCAGATTACCACATTAGTTCCCTGACCTGTGGAATGAGGGATATTGTGGTTGGGAAGGCTAAATGGAGGCCGTTGGAATCACCTCTTCCAAGGAACACAGTGAATCAGAGACAATATCACATTCCAGGAAGAACTGTGTAAATTAGTGCCACCATCAAGAACTTGAAAGATGGAGGAGGGCGGTCCCACCACATCTCCCTTTCATTCTGCTAACTGGTCAGTACAGAAGACTGATGGATTGTGAAGAATGACAGTTGAGTATAAAAAAAAATTTATCAAGTAGTGACCCCAATTGCAACTGCTGTACCAGACGCGGTGTCCTGACTTGAGCGGATTAACACATCTGGTACATGATATGCAGCTATGGATCTAGCAGATGCCTTTTTCTTAGTAACTGTTTGTAAGGACTGCCAGAAACTTTGCTTTCAGTTGGCAAGGCTAACAGTATGCATTTACAATTTTACCTCAAGCATACATTAACTCTGCAGCCCTGTGCCATAACTTCATTCGAAGGGATCTTGATCATCTGTCTTTTCCACAAAATGTCACATTGGTGCACTTTATTGATGACATTGTGCTGATTGGACCAAGTGAGAAGGAGGTAGCATCTGCTTTGGACTTGCTGGTAACAAATATGCACATAAGAGGATGGGAAATAAATCCAACCAAAATTCAAGGGCCTTCTACCTCAGTGAAATTCTTAGGAGTCCAGTGGTGTGGGACATACAGAGATATTCCTTCCAAGCTGAGGGATAAGTATTACACCTGGCCCTCCCACCACTAAGAATGAAGCACAATGTTTAGTGGGCCCATTTGGATTCTGGAGACAGAACATTCCTCACTTGGGTGTGGTATACCAGCCCATACACCCAGTAACTCAGAAAGCTGCTAGATTTGTGTGGGGCCTGAACAGAGGCTTTTCAATGGGTCCAGACTACTGTTTGAGCTGCTCCACCACTTGGACCATATGACTCAGAAGACCCTTTTGGTACTTGAAGTGTCAGTGGCAGACAGGGATGCTGTTTGGAGCCTTTGGTGGGTCCCTGGAGGTGAACCACAGAGGAGACCTTTGGGATTCGGGAGCAAAGCTCTACTGTAATCTGCAGACAACTATTCTCTACCTTTGAGTGACAGCTCTTTGTAGGAGAACATGAATAAATTAACCCCACTCTAACTCAGAATTAAGCATAACAAGGGATTCTTTATTTAAGAGGGACTCAGATCACAGTCTTCCCCACAAACAGGGAACAGGAACTGAATCTAGCATCCAGGCGAGAGAGCAGAGAGAGAGTGGGCGCATGAGCACGTACCTTTTTGATACCCAAGACCAGACCCAACCTGATCCAACCTCTCAAAGACCATTGGCTGAAGGAGGTTCCCCATAACCTTCCCCTTTGTCTAAATAAGAGTTCCAGGGCTGGAGAGATGGCTCAGTGGTTAAGAGCATGGCCTGCTATGCCAGAGGTCCTGAGTTCAATTCCCAGCAACCACATGGTGGCTTACAACCATCTGTAATGAGGTCTGGTGCCCTCTTCTGGCCTGTAGGCATATACACAGAATATTCTATACATAATAAATAAATATTAAAAAAAAAGAGTTCCAAACCCCTTTGTCTAAATAAGAGTATATACAAAACTATATACAATAAGAACAGATATCAAGTATAAAAATTAGAATTACAACCAGCATAAACAATTAAGAAACATACGCTAAATGTTTCAATAATTATTCTATCCTAAGGAGTCTAAGTCTTGTATTGGAATTGGCTTGGCAAAGTCATAAGAAGAAAGTAACTATGACTATCTAGTCTTTAACCCCATCAAAGACCTGAGAAGGAAGATAATATCACTTGAATAGGTAGGAAGTGCAAGCAAGCAGCTTCCAAAATGTACAATAAATGACAGAGACAACTGGCTACCTGGGCAATCACCCAAAGTCTCATTTGTAACATTGTAGCAACCAACTTTGGCTAAGGCCTAGATTAACTGACAGACCATTTTCAGAGGCAGGAAAAATTTCAAAACCGTCTCACTCTGTTTTAGCAAGGTTTGGCAGTCTTTTTTCTTGTATCCTGCTTGTCCAATTAGGACACTGTGCATTTTGTCAGTGGTTGAGGTATGAGCAGTCCCTTGCCCAAAGACCAGTTGTGCCAGGAAGAAAACAAGCTCCAAGTGGAGTGTCTTCATTACTCAACATTCTCTGGGGAATAGATTGGTGCTGCCAGGAGCATTGTGTTGCACATTGACAGAACCCTAAGCCATATTCTACAGTTCTTTGAAGTGGTTGAAGATTACCTATCTATACAGAATATAATCGCTATGCATCTAAAGAGCCTGATTAGTCTAACTATAAGTATGGCAAACATGGATGACTATTGACCTATAATACTTAATACCTGTATAGCTTAAAGACTAAGATTTTATATTAGATATTAAACAATCTTTAAACAACTATGCAGCAAATGAGGACAATTACCTTAAAATGTAAACAATGTATAACTATCTTTACCAGAAATGTATAGTGCAATATGATAAACATATCCTAAAATTGTATCAATATACAAAATGTTTTAAGTACAGGTGTCTGCCATTGTGGCGGCTCTGAGACTGCAGCCTGGCACCACAAGCCACGCCGATTTTTACTATCCTTGTTTTTTTATTTTACATCTTGTAATCACAAGATTAGGAGATTTTCTGAATTCTCTCTTCTGTTAAAAGCCATGTATTTATCCATATAGGCTACTTGGCTCATGGGTCAATTAGCCTCTAGGTATTTTTAGTCACCAGCTCTGGGCACTGACTGTGGGATATACATACTCCCTTTAAACTTTCATTGTCTCCTGCCTTTCCTGGCTCCACCACACAGTGTGGGTCAGACTCAGTTGGCTACAGCGTGTGTGTGTGTGTGTGTGTGTGGACTACCACAATCTCAGTGGTAACCTAGGCCAAACGCCACATTCCCTTTCCTCTTCCCACCCGATCAGCAGCAGTAGAGGCTGTGACGTTGATCACAGTGCCACCACTTGCAGAGGCTAAGGTGAGCCCTCACTTTGATCTCCCCAAGACCCAGAGCAGCCTGAAGGCGGCAGCAGATATACCGCCAGCGCAGGGGCGGGAATATAATATTTACAAACTCTAAATATCTTTGCCTTTGTTTCTGCTCCACTTTAGCTCCTCTAGCTATCAAAATACATCCAAGCAACTGTACCAATAGTTGAATGCTCTTTCCTTGTCCCATATTTACAACCGTTTACAGTTTTACTCCTAATTTTTTCCCCACCTTTCTCTTTCCTTTTTTATTATCTTCTGTTTATTTCCGAGTGCTCATTAGTCACCTCTCCACCTGTGGTGCAGTTTTCTTGCGGGGTTCCTCACGTACTCCCTTGTATACCTGGCCACACTTCTGTGCATTTCAGGGTAAATTGGTCAGCCCCACGTTGGGGACCAGACATAGGAGAACGTGAATAAATTAATTCCACACTAACTCAGAATTAAGTATAACAAGTATAACAAGGGGTTCTTTATTTAGGGGGACTCACAGTCCTCTGCACAAAAGGGGGACCAGAACCGAATCCAGCATCCAGATGAGAGAGTAGAGAGAGAGCATGGGTGTGGGTGTGCAGGAGCACAGACCTTTTTGATACCCAAGGCCATGTCCAACCTGGCCCAGCCTCTCAAAGGCCATTGGCTGAAGGAGGTTCCCCATCAGTTCTTGTCCTGCTATTGGGCCTTAGTGGAAACTGAACCTTTGACAATGGGTCACCAAGTTACCATGCAACCTGAGCTGCTCATTGTGATCTGGGTATCATCTGACCCATCAAGCCATAAAGGAGGACATGTACAGCAGCACTCTATGGCAAGCAAACTGAAGTGATATAGATGTGATCAGGCCCAGGCAGGTCCTGAAGACACAAGGAAGTTGCATGAAGAAGTTGCCCAAATGCCTATGTTTTCTACGCCAGCTACAATGCTGTCTGCTTCCAGCATGCACCTGCAGCCTCATGTAACCCTATGGTTAGTTGACAGAAAAAGAAGACTAGGGCCTGGTTCACTGATAGTTCTGCGTGCTATGCAGGCACCAACCAGAAGTGGACAGCTGCAGCATTATAACCCCTTTCTGGGACAACCTTAAGGCCACACATCTTCACTGTGGGCAGAACTTCAGGCAGTACACATGGTCATACATTTTGGTTGGAAGGAGAAATGACCAGATGTGTGATTGTTCACAGGCTGTAGGCAATGGATTGCCTGGATGGTCAGGGACTTGGAAAAGGCATGACTGGAAAATTGGTAAGAAAGATTTTTGGAGAAGAAGTGTGTAAATAGATCTCTCTAAAAGGGTGAAGGATGTGAAGATACTTGTGTCCCATGTAAACACTTATCAAAGGTGACTTCAGCTGAGAAGTTCAGTAATTGAGTAGGATGACTCATGCTGTGGACAGTCAGTCTCTTTCCCCAACATCTCTGCCATTGACCATTTGGCCCCCAAAGGGGATCATGGTATCAGAGATGGGATTTATGCATGGTCTGAGGACATGGACTCCCACTCAGCAAGACTAATCTGACTGCAGCTGCGGCTGGGTGCCCATCTGCCAGAGATCAACACAGTCCCTAACCTGGCACCTTCCCAGGGTGACCAGCCAGCAATCTGGTGGCAGGCTGACTACACTGGGCCACTTCCTCTGTGGGAAGGCAATGCTTTGTCCTTACTGAAGTAGATACTTATTCTGATTATGGATTTGCCTTTCCACGTAATGATTCTGCCAAATTACACCCACGTGCCAGTGGCCATGTCGGAGCAGCAGATGGCAATGGACTTCAGGGGATCGACCCACTAGAAAACAAAACTTTGATCAGTGAATCCTGGATAGGCAAGAAGACCCTTGGACTTGCAGCTCCAGAATGCTTCTTGCTATTGCTCTGTCTTTGTGTGTTTACTGCTGCCATTTTTCTCTGGTATCTGACATGGTGTGGATGGGCATGGGGAGACAGACCCCACTGCCCTTAATGCAGTATAACCATCTCTTGGAGAAAGCCCATTCTACTGGGTGTTTTTAACCTGTGGATTATTATGAAGATGATTTCCTCATAAGTGGTATTGCTTAACTGAAGCAATAATGTTATATAATAATAGTGTCAGTTAAAATAGGATTTTGATGATTGAAGGGTTTTAGTAAATATAGTAAAGAATTTTGATAAAGCTTAGTGCCACCATCTCTATAAACATCTTTTTTATTTTTCTTTTTTGAGACAGGGTCTTATGTCAGGCTGGCCTCAAACTCAACTATGTTGTGGAGGATGGCCTTGAATTTCTGTTTCTCCTGCCTACACTTCTGAAGTGCTCAAATCATAGGCATGCATAACTGTGCTTCTTTCTATGGTGCTGCGGAATCAAACCCAGGGTTTTCTGTATGCTAGGCACACACTCTGCTTGCTGAGTCACACACCTGGGCGGTCAGCACAGGCTTTCTGTGCAGCTCTGACTATGTCTGTAGAGCAGATTAGTCAGTGGACTAGCCTGCAGCACATGGTGATTTGACAGTCTGGAATGCAATGGAAACTTGCCTTCCAGTGGTTGTGACTGTTTGCCTTCTCGAGAGTTTGGGAATTCCATTGGCATCTCTCCTTATATTTCGTCTGACAGGGTCACCAGAACAGGAACACCTGGATGACAGCGACATCATTGTCCTTACGTCCACATTATTCATGGGAGGTTTTTTTGGTTGAATGAAGGAGCCATAGCAAATGAAGCCCAGAATATGGCAGATGCCATAGAGCACATAGTATATCGAATGGGCAGCAGTGTGGACATTACAGTGGCATACTAGAGATGAGACCAGAGGCACTTGGGGCAGATGCTGTCTGGGAAGGTGTGGAGGCTGATGGCCAGTCTTTTCTTCTGGATATGTTATTCTTTATACAAAGTCCTGGAAGAATTGTGTTCACTGAGTTAGCGAGGTCATCACACTCTCTGTTCACTTGTATATCCTAAGAAGAGACCGTTAGAGGCAGTTATTAGCACTGAGGATCTGATTTGCATACCCAGGTCTCAGAGAAGCTCTTTGGGGCATTTTCCTTTCTTGTGGACTAGGATCTCATGACCCCCCTCCTCATTCTATCAAAATAGGGAAGGAAAGGAACTCAAGGAGGCCTTTAGTAAAGGAACTAGAAGGGGCATTGTGGTAATGTGAATAAGAATGACCCTCATAGGCTCATATATTTGAATATGTGATCCCCAGTTGATTGAATTGCTCGAGGAAGGATTAGGAAGTGTGGCCTTGTTGGAGGAGGTGTGTCACTGTGGGTGACATGGGAGGCTGGGGTGGGGCTTGAGTTTTCAAACTCTCACACCATTCCCAGGAGCCCTCCCTGCCTCACACTTGTGGATCAGGATGTAAGCACTTGGCATCTGCTCAGCACCATGCCTACCCGCCTGCTGCCATGCTCCCTCCCATGATGGTTGTGCTAGTTTGATGAAATTGAGTAATTTCATAGGGAGTGGCACTATTAGGAGGTATGGTTTTGTTGGAGTGGGCATGGCCTTTTTAGACAAAGTATGTCACTATGGGGTGGACCTTGAGGTTTCCTATGCTCAGGATACTGCCTAGTGTCTCAGGATACCTACCGCCTAGTGTCTCAGGATACCTACCGCCTAGTGTCTCAGGATACCGCCTAGTGTCTCAGGATACCTACCGCCTAGTGTCTCAGGATACCTACCGCCTAGTGTCTCCTAGATGCCTGCCTGCATGTCACCATGGTCTCCATGATGATGATAACGGACTGAACCTGTGCAATTGTAAGCCGCTACCCCAATTAAACATTTTTTTTTATTAGAGTTGCATGGTCATGGTATCTCTTCATAGCCATAGAAACCCTAACTAAATCCCGATGGTGGTGGCACACGCCTTTAATCCCAGCACTCGGGAGGCAGAGACAGGCGGATCTCTGTGAGTTCGAGGCCAGCCTGGTCTACAAGAGCTAGTGCCAGGACAGGCTCCAAAGCTACAGAGAAACCCTGTCTCAGAAAAAAAAAACCCATATTAAGACAATACTCATGGACTCACCCTCTGAAACCACGAGTCTAAAATTAAATGTTTTCTTTTATAAGTTGCCTTAGTCGTTGTGTTTTGTAAGAAGTAAGAAAGTAACTAAGACATGTATGTACTATTTCTTGATCTGGCTTAGTTACATGAGTGCATGCTATTTGATTGCTGTCTTTAATTTATTTCAATTCCGTTTTTGTTTTATTTATTTGTGTTTTGAGACAAGGTCTCATGTTATAGTCTGGCCTCAAGCTCACTCTATAGCTGATGCCAGCCTTGAAATTCTGAACTGCTCAGTTGTACTCCCACCAAGTTCTGGGATTCTATAATAAACAATTAAATGAATGGCTTGGAAAGAACCAGTTACTGGAGTCTTTTCATGGAAGTACCTTCCTTTTGTTTTTCTAGATTTATTTTTACTTTGCTATTTTATGTACATGAGTTTTTTTATTGTATATGTGTCTGTACACCACATGCATGTCTAGAAGAGGCATTGGATCCCCTAGGATTGGGGTTATGGATGTGAGCCACCATGTGGGTGCTGGGAGTTGAACATGGGTCCTCTGCAAGAGCAAAGTGTGCTTTGAACTGCGGAGCCATCGCTCCCATCTTCCTGAAAGCTCTTTCTACAGGTCTGTCATTGCATTTCATGTCTCAGTTTTTAATGGTTTTTGTTTGTTTTATGAGACAAGGTTTAAAACTTTTTAAAGTATAAAATGAGGGGTTTGGAGGGCTGGAGAGATGGCTGAGCAGTTAAGAGTGCTTGCCATTTTGGCAGAGGACCTGGATTTGGTTCTCAACATTCACATGGCAGCTTTAAAACTGGCAACTCCAGTTCTAAGAAATCTGGTAATCTCTTCTGGCCTCTTTGGGCACCAGGTAGGCAGGCAACGAACATACATATAAACAGGAGAAAAATCATACACATAAATAAAATTAGATAAACCTAAAAAAGAAGTATAAAATTTTTTAATGAATCTGGGATGTCACTATGATGTCTGGACTTGTCTCAAGTGATCCCCCTGCCTCATCCAGTAGCCAGGATTAAAGGCACACTTCACCAAAAGCAGCTTTTATCTCATTTTCATGGTGGGGGAAGGCGGGCATTTGCCTTATTTTACATAATGTTAAAACTTTACTTGGTCTATAAGCACATCCCTCAAAGCCAGATAAAAATCTAGGCTACTCAGATTGGCAGCAGGCAGGCAGCAAAGGGTTAAATATGAGGACACTGAGGAAAATTGCAGCAGCACTTGGTAGCCAAGTCCCCTGACAGTCAGAACACCCTTTATGTTTTAAACATCCTTAAAGCTACAGTTAGGTTGTCTCTACTACATCTGAAGTGAAGGCATCATGGATTTCCCCAATGCATGTGCTCTAATGAAGAGTTTGTGTCTTCAAAAGACCTGATGTTATTGGGCTGTGGTGGTGTATGCCTTGAAACCCAGCACTCAGGAGGCAGAGGCAGGTGGATCTTTATGAGTCTGAGGCTAGCCAGGTCTACAGAGGGACTTCTAGGATAGCCAGGGCTGCACAGAGAAACCTTGTCTTGGAAAAACCAAAATCAAACAAAACAAAACAAAGCACCTGATCTCATCACAGTATCACTGACATCATCACAGCACCACTGATGTCATCACAGTATCACTGATGTCATTACAGCATCACTGATGTCATCACAACATCACTGATGTCATCATAGCATCGCTGATGTCATCTCAGCATTACTGATATCACAGCATCACCGATGTCATCACAGCATCAGTGATGTCACCACGGCATCACTGATGTCATCACAGCGCTGCTGATGTCATACAGTATCACTGATGTCATTACAGCACCGCTGATGTCATTACAGCACCACTGATATCATTACAGCATCACTGATGTCATCACAGCACCGCTGATGTCATCACAGCGCCGCTGATGCCATCACAGCATCACTGATGTAAACATAGCATCACTGACATCATCACAGCAATATTGATGTCATCACAGCATCACTGACATTGTCACAACCTCACTATTGTCATCACAGTATCACTTGCATGGAGGTCCTGACATGTCCACTTTTGTGAGCTTTTCTAGAGGATCCTGGTGAATTAGTCACTGTGTGAATTAGTCATGTGTGAAGAGACACCATGACCAAGGCAACTTACAAAGAAAAAACTTAATTGGGGATCATGGTTCTAGGGGGTTAGAGTCCATGACCATCAGGTAGGGAGCCTGGCAGCAGGCAGGCAGGACACTGAGCAGCAGCTAAAATTGTACACAAGCAGGAGACAGGGAGAGAGAGAACACGCTAACTGGAAATGCTGTGGGTTTTTGAAACCTCAAAATCCACCCCAATGATTTACCTCAGCCACACCTCCTAATCCTTCCCAAACAGTTCCACCAGCTGGGGACTAAGCATCCACACACATGAGTGTATGGGGACAATTCTCATTCAACACCACATTCCACTTCTGCCCGCCCCCAGGCTTGTGGCCAGATCATAATGTGAAATGCATTTAGTCCAACTTCAAAAGTTCCCATAGTCTTTTATTCTCAGGACTTTAAAATCCAGGTGCGGTAGCAGGCCTTTAATTCTAGCACTCAGGAGGCAGAGGCAGGCGGTTCTCTTTGAGTATGCACACAAGTATGTAAAATTAGCCTGGTCTATGTAGGACCTCCAGGACAGCCAGAGCTACATAGATATTCCATCTCAAAATAAAATAAAACACTATTTAAAAGTCCAAATTCTTTCAGAGACTCAAGGCAATCTCTCAGTTGTAACCTCCTGTAGCATAAAATTTTAAATTATAGACTTTTAACATACAATGGCATGAGTTGGAGTGGCTTAATGTCCCACAGGCCTGGTTTACCATGTACCTGGGCAGGATAGGATAGGACAGCTGAGTCCCCCATTGTCCTCTAACATGGGGATGTCACTAGCTCTAGCTGTCTCCACACTATCCTCTAACATGGGGATGTCACTAGCTCTCAGACCTTCTGGCAGATCACAGGAGGCTCAAAAGAAGCTCTTACAGAGAGGTCCAGCAGTTCCAGGGCAGATGATCTGTTGTTCCGGATGGACTTCAGGAGACTGACATATCCTTCACTTCGAATGGGATTCTTGGAAATCTAAGAAAGATGAATACACCAGGATACTAGAGCCTTTTATGGGGACTCATGCCCATAACCCCAGGGCTCAGGAGGTAGAAGCAGGAGGATTAGCAGTTCAAGACTACTTACCAAGTTAAGAGCCCACTAAGCGTTGAAGAGATGGCTCGGTGGCTAAGAACACTGGCTTCTTTTCCAGAGGACCTGAGTTCAATTCCCACCACCCACACTAGTCTCAGGGGATATGATACCCTCTTCTGGTCCCTGTAGGGCACCAGGCATATATGTAGTACACAGACATACATGCAAGTAAAACACTCAAGCATAAATAAATCTTAAAATATTTAAAACATAACACAAAAACCAAGGTTCTGAGAGGCAGCTTAGCAGTTAAGACACTTGCTTCTCTTAAAGAGGATCCAATTCAGTACCAAGCACCCTCATGGTATAGCTCACAACTACTTGTAAACAGGGTCTGGTGCCCTGTTACATCTATATACCCAGGCACACATAAAAAAACAAAAGCAAACAAACGACCTTAAAACAACAACAATAAAAAGAAGGTTCTTAGTAGGCCATGCTTCTGATTGACAATAATCACCAAGTACTGGGAGGGCTGGTGAACTAGATCAATAGGACCCATGGAAGGGAAGTGCGAAGAGGGTGGGTCCAGCAGTGAACTCTGTAGATATTGGGGTAAGAAAGTAAGCTGTGGGCCCCAACCCCATAAAAAGGGGTTGTTCATCCAGGTGGGATTCTGAGACTCACTGTGTCTTGGGGATTGTCTAACAGGTAGCTGGAAACATGAACCCAAGCTTGAAATCGGTCTTGGTGCCTATGTCACAGGAGGTGGAATTGCTAATGAGTGGGAAGCTAGGGGCCAGGCAGAGCTAGGCACACTCCAACTCCCATGCTGAGATGAACACCCCGTCCCCAGTCTCCTCCCCGTACACGTTGGTACAGCAGAGAACTGCTCACCTCACCTGGCTCCTTCCCTTCTGTTTTTGCTATCTATCACCCTGTCTAGTGCCCCAGTCATCACCTGCAAACCTCTGGACACAAAAACCTCAGGCATGTCTCAACTATGGCCAGTCAGCACCCCTGTGCTGACCCTGGGTTTCACTGGGGACAGCAAAGGTGCAGGGGGGAGAATGAGAGTAAGCTGAGGGATGCGTGGCTGCCTTCCCCACGGTGGAACTCCTGTGAGCAGGACAAAGAACCGCAGGGAGTTGCCAGGGCCACTGGGAAAAGGGTGGAAAGGAAGAGTCAGAGGTGAGTCGTGGTCACAGGAAGCTAGGAGGTCCCCTCCCAGAGATGCCCATGTGCTGTCTCTGCAGCGAAGGGGCTGGTGGGAGAAAGGGCTGTATGAAGAGACACAGGTTCAGTCTGTGCTGGAGCCTCCCCAACCAGGCTCAGACTTACAATAAGAATCCGCAGTGTCTGGTTGACTTGCAGTCCCAGTCCCAACCTCAGGGCCCCTGCCATGGAGATTCGGTTGTTTCTGCAGCAAGAGAAACATATGTGTCAGTTAATCAGCAAAGGAGCCCACTAATACATGGATGGATAGATGAAATGTAGTGTGTATCTACAATAGAGTCTTTTCAGCTATAAAGAAAGAAACACTGTGTCATCTGAAGCAAATGGATGGACCAGGAGGGCATTATGTTAAGTGAAACAAGCCAGACAGAAAGTCTACACAAACACTAACAGCAGCAACCTGGAAAGTATATTAGTAATTACTAGAGGTCAGGATAGATAGGAAGAGGAGAAAAGGAAAATAAAATAAAAATAAAAGGGAGGCTGGATGGGGTCAGCACATCTGCAGGCATGTGTGGAAGCATCCCACCTAACCCCATCTGTATCACAGATTTCCAGTTTGCAGGACTCAGTGCCTCGGGAGCCCCTGCCTGAGCTGCTTCCCGCAGATTGGGTTTCACAGTGCAGCTCTCCTCTCATGCCCAGGTCACGGGGGGGGGGGGGTGGGGGGGGTTGGGGGGGTATGCTGCTGCCCCATGGGTGGCAAGCACACTTAGAGTGCCCCCAGTGGAGAGGAGGGGTGCCAGCTCCTAGGCTCTTTGAGCTTAGAAAATGCTCCCTGTGTGTCTTGTGCCCTCTGGCAACCATACCCATTACCACAGCAATTTCTGACCTGAACCCCAGTCCTTCAAATTGTTGTCTCTGAAGCCAGGCCTACATACTTAATACTGATTTCCTCCTCTTTTTTTTCTTCCTAAAAGTCTTTTTTTTTTCTTCCTAGAGTCTTCTGGGCAGTCGTGGTGTACACCTTTAAACCCAGCACTTGGGAGGTGGAGGCAGGCAGAGTTCTGAATTCAAGGCTAGTCTGGTCTACAAAGAGAGTTCCAGGATAGCTAGGGTTACATGGAGAAACCCTGTCTCAAGGAGGAAAAAAAAGATAGGCTAGCCTGTAACTCTTATATAGCTGAGGATGATCTTGAACTTTGGATTTTTCCTGCCTCTGCCTCCTAAGTGCTGGGTCTACAGGTATGGAAAGCATTGTGACTGGAGACTGGAAAAGTCACTGACTGCTATGGATAGAGCTCACCAGGTGCTGGAAAGACGGTAATGCTGAAATGCCAGCAGCAATGAAGCCCCATATCACATCTCAGAAAAGAGCAAGGTTTTTATGGTTAATCGGAACATTTTGGCTAAAAATCTGTGTGTGCTGATCAGCTGGGGCTGAAGAATCAGCTGTGATTGTCAAAGAGGAGGTCAAGGCCATTGCAGTGAAACCTGTGCTTATTGAGACAATAGGGTGCGGATTAGCTGGAGCTGAAGAATCAGCTGCAAATATAATAGACCAGCACCCAGTCAAGACCTGTGCATCTCAGGGATAAAAGGGAAATATTCCCCAGGGTCAGCACCAGAAGCTGATCTGTTGGAGGAGGCTGCTTTGTTCCCAGCTGTCCAGACCTGAAATAATCACTCAGAAACTATATTATTTGCCATACTGTTTGGCCAATAGCTTAAGCGTATTTCTGGCTTACGCTTGTATCTTATGTTAACCCATCTTGCTAATCTATATATTGCCACGTGGCTGTGGCTTACCAGCAAGCTTCCAGCAAGTCTATCTCTGGCAGAAGCTTCATGGCTTCTCTCCTCTCTGCCTTCTTTCTCCCAGCATTTAGTTTTCCCCGCCTAGCTCTACACAGGCCAAGACAGCTTCTTTATTCATTAACCAATAGAAGCAACACACACACACACACACACACACACATACAGAAGGACCTCCCACACCACTGTTCTAAGGAGGCTAGATTACATCTTGTGTAGATGGAAGCTGCCATGTAGAACTGGTTTTGAAAGCATGGAAGATGCATAGTCGAGAAGGTCATGGAGAGAAGCTGAGGCATTGCTCCTTGTTGCGTTAGGGTGAGGCCCAAGGGGCCACTGACGAAGGGGAGGTCTCAGTTGCAATAGAGATCCCAAAATGGGATGTCCACCAAGATGCAGGTGTGGTGGGGAGTGGTAGGAAGAAAGCTGTGTGCTTCAGCTAGTGGGGTGCAGAGATGGGGCTACCAAAACCCTCTGGAGCCTCAAAGATGATGAGTCTCAAATGGTGGGCAAAGCTACATGATTGAATTCATATTGCCAGATTTTACTTTTGCTTAGGTGTGATTGTTTTTAATCCTCAGTTCTTCCCACTTGGAATAAGAATGTTTAAGTATGCAGCTTGATTTTAGAAGAGCCCAGTGACCGACTCTGGGTTTTTTAAGTCTTTTTTTTTTTTAATTAGTTGAGTGCAAGTACCTGATGAGTTCAGAAAGAAACTGTCAGGTCTCTGAAGCTGGAGTTGCAAGCAGTTAGGAGCCATCTGATGTGGGAGCTGAAAACCAAACTTGGGTCCTCTGTAAGAGCAGTACACGTCCTGAATCCCCAAGCCATCTCTCCATACCCAAGAGACTCCATTTTTAAGAAGACTTTGTACTTTTTTGTTTGTTTGTTTGTTTTGTTTTACAAGACAGGGTTTCTCTCTTTATCTTTGGCTGTCCAGAAATTCACTCTGTAGATCAGGTTGGTTTCAAACTCAGGGATCTGCCTGCCTGCCTTTGTCTCCTGACTGCTTGGATTAAAAGCATGTGCTACCACCACCTAGCTGGGACTTTGGTCTTTCAAAGAGATCTTGGATGTTTAAAGTATTGGTTTTTTTTTTTTAAGTTATGTATAGGAGCATTTTGCTTGTATGTATGTAGATGTACCACATGTGTGCCTGGTGCCCACAGAAATCAGAAGAGGCCATCAGAGTCTCTGGAACTAGAGTTGCGGATTATATTGTGAGCTACCATATAGGTGCTGGAAGCCAAATCCGGGTCCTCTATAAGAGCAACAAATGCTCTTAACTGCTGAGTCATCTCTCCCATCCTGAAGTGTTGGGATTTTAAGGCCTATATTTTACATTGTAAAATAAACATGAGGCCTTGGGGACCAAGGGTGGGAAATTTATACTTAAAGTGTTTGTGTGTCAAGTTAGCAAAGGATGGGTTGTGCCAGTCAGTTTTTAGTGTCAGTTTGACACAGCCTGGAAGCCTGGAAGCCTGGGAGCGTCTCAATGAGTAGGAATTATCTAGGTCAGGTTGGCCTACAGCGTGTCTTTGGGGGTTGTCCTGGTTGCTAATCGATGTAGAAAGATTCACCCCGGATGTGGGCGGCACCACAAATAAACTGTGAAGACAGCGAGCAGCAGTGTGAAGAATGCTCTCGGCTCTTGGCTGTGAGTGTGATGTGTTCTCCCTGAAGTGCTGACGTCTAACCTGCATTGTAAGCTGGGTGAACCCTTCCTCTAAAGTAGCTTTTGGTCAGTGTGTTTCATCACAGCAATAGAAGTGAAACAAGGAGTAAGACACCATTTTTGATTTACATGATGTGGGGCCATGAGCCCATAGCCTGAGGGCATGCGAGACTTGGTTATACCCCAGCCCCCAGCAACAAACTTGAATAAGGACAGAGCTCCTTGCAGCATTGAGGCTCTGGCCACACAGCAGGAGCAGTGTGAACAGCATCCAATCACTGTGTGGCTGAGAGTGGCACCCTTGTTTCTCACCTCATGTTCAGTTCTTCCAACACGTTGTTGGCCTTGAGGGCCTCGCCTATTGCAGAGGCTCCAGAGTCTCCAAAGCCATTATGAGAGATATCTAGGACTTTCAAGAAGATATTTGCCTAGGACATAGAGAGCAAAGCTGTGAGTTCACATCTAATGGTGCAGAAAGCCATAGGGCCAGGGCTCCAGCCTCAGCCCACGGGAGAACCCGAGCAATGCCCAAGACAGAGAGGTCCTGGGACAGAGTTAGCAGGAGCTGTCAGGAACAGATGATCAGATCCACGCCTATGGGGAAAATTCCCAAGGCAGGTATCCTAGGGCGCAGAGACCTGGGGACAGGGCGCCTACATGAAGCCTGCCCAAGAGACTGTGATTAGGGAAGGGTGAGTGGTCTGACCTGACCCTTTCTGGGGTGGGACTACCCCCACCTACCCACTGCAGTCAGCTCTATAAGAGGGCATGGCCCTGGCTGTTGTTTCCAAGGTCATTGTCACTGAACAGTGATGATGCCTCATGATATCATGTTTCCAGATCTATAGCCTTTCAGGGAAGCACTGACGGGGTGTGCTGGCACACATCTCTGTATGCTAATAATGTCACCAGGCTGCACAGATGTCCCCTACCAGCTGAATGTGATGTCTGGATGAGGGCAGCTGACATTAGCTACAGACCCCTAGAGACCCTTCAGGAAATGGACTGAGAGTCAGTGCAGAGTATTATCATTTACTGGTGATGGGAAAACAGGTCATCTCAGACGCACCATGTTAAGAACTGGCTTGGGGAAAACTTCCCTAAAGGAGAGGCAGGCTATTGGGACTGAGTGGGCGAGGGTCTCATACCTCCAGGCCCTTGGCAAATGCAACGGCTCCTGGACCTCGAAGGTGATTCCAACTGAGGTTAAGCTCTGTGAGTCCTGTGTTTTCTGCTAAGGCAGGTCCAAGGATCTCTCCTGAGGAGCACCAAGAGATTTTTATGACAAACAAAAATGTTATGTTCAAAAATGACCTGATGCTCACCATGTCCTGCAACTTCTGCTGGCAGGAAGGTGACAAAGTTCAGTGTATACCTGGACTACCTGCAAGGAACATGTGTGTGCGCACGTGTATACACCAGCACAGGGTCTTCTCCTACAGCACAGACAGGTCACTCTGTCATCCAGACTGGCCTTAAACTCCAGATTATCTTGTTGTCACCTCCAGTGTGTTGACAATACAAACAAGAGCCACCATGCTCAGCAAGGAATCCACATCTAATTGGGAAGAGATGAATTCAGAGTAACGAGATTCTAACTATTTTAATCTATAAATAAAAAGGATAGAGATGCAGTGGTAGTTTTGATGAGGTCTGGAAGTAAGGACAGAGCAGGTGACCTAGAATCAAGGAATCCACATGCATGCGCATGTGATGGCCACAGAGATGCACACATGATGGACAACAGGGATGCACACATGATGGACACAGGGATGCACACATGATGGACACAGGGATGCACACATGATGGACAACAGGGATTCACACATGATGGACAACAGGGATTCACACATGATGGACACAGGGATTCACACATGATGGACACAGGGATTCACACATGATGGACACAGGGATTCACACATGATGGACAACAGGGATTCACACATGATGGACACATGGATGCACACATGATGGACAACAGGGATTCACACATGATGGACACAGGGATGCACACATGATGGACAGCAGGGATTCACACATGATGGACACAGGAATGCACACATGATGGACACATGGATGCACACATGATGGACACAGGGATGCACACATAATGGACAGCAGGGATGCATACATGATGGACAGCAGGGATGCACACATGATGGACACAGGGATGCACACATGATGGACAACAGGGATGCACACATGATGGACACAGGGATGCACACAAAGTGAAACTGGGTTGATGCTGAAGCTGGTGGAGAGGCAGCAGGAATCAGGTGGGCACTTGTGAGTCGGCAAACGCTAAGCCGAGTACACAGGTGCTGTTGTATGTATGACTGGGCAGCTGCTGTAAGAGCTATGCGGCTGGATGAATGTTCCAGCAAGATTCCTATTGGCTGTGGGCACCTGCAGAGACAGAGCCCTCTAAGTCTGGTGTAGCTATGGCGGAAAAGAAGAATGAGCGGTAGCAAAAGGAAGAGGGTGGAGCCCTGAGAAACGCCTAGTATGTCAAATAGGAAGGGGCACACCCTGCAGTCAGCTCTACATTCTGTTAGCACTGACGGGCATGACCCACTGCCCCAACTCCATCCACAGTCCACTGTGGTTCTCCATGTTGGTTCCCCTTATCCACCTGGCCAAGCGTGTCTCAGCCTCATAAGCTGGGTGTGCAGACTCGGGAGACCTTACCTGTCTCTCCAGGCTGGGTGGGCCCCTCAGGACCCGTGTCTACTGCCCTCCTACTTTCCCTTGCTATTTTAGCCTTGTTGACCCCTTACAGCCTCCCCATCTGAATTCACGCTGCTTGGTTGATCTCTGTGTCTGGACTGGACTCCTTCAAGGATCCAAATTTGGTCTCTTCTCATTATCTTGACAACTAGAGCAAAAAAGTTGGTTTGAAGTGCTCAGAAGAGCTAGGTATGGTGGTCCACTCCTATAATCCCAGCATACAGGAGGCTGAGGCAGGGGGACCCTTATGTCAAGGCCAGTCTGGACAAAGTAGTGAATTCCAAGCCACCCTGAACTGCATAGTGAGACCTGGCCTCAAAAACCAAACCAAACTGAACTAAATCAAACCAAGGAAACACATGGTGTGTGTGTGTGTGTGTGTGTGTGTGTGTGTGTGTGTGTGTGTCCCAAGCCTGAGTGCTCCCAGCCTCCTGCTTGGCTAGAACATGCAGCAGCAGGCATATTAGCCCTGAAGAGAATCCTGTGCCACAACTAAGGTTTGGGCACTGTCTCTCGTCCAGGGCTGGCTCTGATGCCCGGCTCATCACCATCTTGCAAGGCACACACCTGCAGCGAGTTCTCCACTGCCATAGATCATGCATGACTGAAATTCAAGCCCCTCCGCCCCTCAGGAACAAACTGCAGTCCCCTCTTGGAGAAACAAAACTGACTGAATCTGCCCTTCTCCCTTGCACACCTTCACAGGGCTTCAGATCCATCCCCTCCTATCCACTGCCTCTTTGCCACTTGTCTGTCAGAGTCTGTACTTATAAGATAGCCCACCCCCAAGGTCCTCGCTGCTTTACTGGGCTGGAGAGATGACAGCCTGGCTGTTCTGGCAGAGGATCCCTATTTGACTCCCAGCACCCACATGGCAGCCCACAGCCGACTGTAACTCCAGTTCCATGCATCTGATGCAGTTCCGTGGATCTGATGCAGATATCTTCTGTCCTGTGGGCATGCAGCACGTAGTGCACAGACATGCAGGCAGGCAAACACTCATACACGTGATAAAAAGTTTGGCCTCCAAGACTGGCATGTGGCAATGACAATATCTAAAAGTCTTAGGCCACGGGGGTCCCTTGAGGGAACTGTATGACCCTAGTCTCTTCCTTTTGCCTCTTTGTTTCCGGATCATGAGTTAAGCGGCCTTTTTCTAATGTTTGCTCAGTCACAGGCCCAATCCATCAAAAGCTGAAATCTCCAAAACTATGGGCCCAAATACATTGTTTCCCTTGGGAAGATGGTTATCTGAGGTATTGGTTATAGTAACAGCAAGTTAAATTCTCAAGTCCCAAAGACACAGCTACAGTTTGTCAAAGTCTGAAATGAGCGTCTCCTTTAGTTCCCACGGCCTTTCCACAATACTTTCCTTTGAAGACAATTGACTTTAGCAGTTAAACTCCAGGACTGAGGTTAGTGCCAAGGTGCTCAATTTTCTAAGACATTCCAGAAATTCCAGAACCCCTGATTAGACAGCTGTCCTGGGACAACGACAATGCCCACTACAGTGCAGACACATGGGCATCTAAGAATTTGCATCAGGTTCTGCTCCAGTGCCTGAGCAGCTAAGGGCACCAGCTGCTCTTCCAGAGAAGCTGAGTTCAGTTCCCAGCACCCACACTGGGCGGATCACAGCCCTCTGTAACTCCTGCTGCAGAGGACAGGATGTGATCTTCTAGCCACATAGGTACCCGCACACATGTGACACACACTCACTCACATTCACATAAGTAGAAGTAAATGTTTAAAGAGAAGAATTTGCTTCAGCCAATTCAGGGGAAAGAAACCCCTAAAGCCAGGCCCAGGTGACCCTTTCATGCTGCTGGACTGCCCCCAAGTTTCTGGGCTCAATTGGTCTTCCAAGTAGTTACACCTAGCTTCAATTTGTATAACTAACTAGCACATTTAGAGACGAGTGGTATAGGTATTCATATTCCTGGCAAAGCATCCAGCCCATGCAAAGGCCCTGGGGAGACAACAACTGGTTTAAGTAGCCTATCCATGTCTTTCATAGTACTTAGTTTCCCCCACCTCTGCAGTACCGGTGACTGAACCCAAGACCTCACACACACTAGACAAGCACCTTGCCATCGAGTTACATCACAGCCCTTTTACAAAAACACTTGGAATGAAAGCTTCATACCTCTAGCCATGACCTGAGGGCCACATAGTCCTGCTTCCCTTCCAAACCACAGCCTGGTCATTCTCCCCTGATCACCCGTCCAACTACACGGGTGTCTCCCAACCTAGGAAACAGGCCTGCATGCTTACAGTTCATCAGCTTCCTGATCAGGCCATGGCTGACTCCCTTCCACCACACACACAGATTTCAGTTTAAACACCCAACCCTCTGCAGTAGGTGGTCCGTTCTTTTCTAGGGCCATACATTGCTTCTCTTGGAAGGCCACGAATTCCTGAGAATGCTTTTGTTAGTGTATGTTCCCTGAAGTCAGTAACTTTGTTTTGTTCATAGATCCCCACGTGAGGACAGTGAGAAATGCCCGGAATGAGTTGAGAATTCTGTTGGTTAGAGAGGTATGGCGAAGGGACACCAGCACCGGGATATTTCTGGCAGAAGCTGGGTATGGCCCTCCATTCCCCTCGCTGCCATCAGTGTCCAGTGAGTACTCGTGACCCATGACTGCCCAGACCAAGTATTACCTGCCAGGTCGTTGAGCTGATTATAGCTGAGATCTAGGGATCTCAGGCCCGTGTGGAGCAGCAGAAGAGAAGCGAGGTGCTGGGCGGCCTTTTCCTCCAGCCCATTCCCTCCCAGTTGCATCTTCTGCACAGCGGGGTTTAAGGCCAGGGCAGTGCAGAGAGCCCGGAGCCCTGCAGCTCCAATCTGGTTCTCGGACAGGTCCACATCTGAAGGCAGCACCACTGCTTGGTCAGTAGGAACCGTGGCCGGGAGCCACCCTCCTGCATTCCCTACATCTCATAAACCTCCAGCCTGAGGAAGAGAAGGGCCTCTGCCATCTGATTACCCAGGGATGGTATGGTGATGGCTTTGCCACCTATTGGCTGGGTCACCTTGGGTCTTCCCATCCTATGATTGTCTGTGAAGAATGCTGTGGTAGAGAGTCAGCTATGCTGTTGGTGACTGGCATCTTTGAAACAATGTAACCTCCACAGAAGTCCTGACCTACTCTAGGAAGTAACACACACTGCCAGTGTGAGCTCAGCGTTCCCCCAGGTCAGGTTCTGTCATTGCCTTTGATGTTGTCCACAGCCCAGAGAGCTGAGTGGCGCTGCTGTGGTCATTTTTTAGATGGAGAACAGGCCCAGCAGGGTTGTGCTGCTTGCCTGGGTCAGCTCCTGCTTCATCGGCAGAGCTGTCATCTGCAAGCAGCCTCGCCCGTCTCCTGCCTTGCCCTTCCAGTTCTCAGTAGACAGAGACCCTGTTTCTCTGTGCCTCTTCCATCCTGCACTCAGGCACTGGGAGTCTACCGTGTGCACGGGTGAGGTGCCCAGCGGGGGAGAGGAGAGTGATAGCCGTAGGATGGGTCAGGCAGAATGACATTCAGCATTGGCTACACCAATGAGGAAACTCCCAGAAAGCCAAACTCATCCCGCAAGCCTCACCCTGTGATGAGGACCCTCCTTATCCCTTAGCAAGTAAAAAGGCCTGGCGAGGGAGCTGTTAGTATTCGGGTATCTGAATTGGTCTGAACTTGGGGTATATGTCCTCAGCGAAGCCACTAACCCTGCCCACCTCCCATCTCTCTTTCCCTCTCTGTCTCTGTCTGTCTGTCTCTGACTCTCTCCCTCTTCTACCACTTCTGTCCCCAGTGGCTGGTCTCCCCCAATCTCTTCCCCCCTTTTCCCATTTACTTTCCCCCAATTAAAAAATCTCTCCACCTGAGTTCTGTTGCATGACATCTTTTTCTAAATTACAATAGGAGCCACTTCCCTAAAGAAAGAGAGTCCCCAAGCATGCCTGCTGCTCAGAAACTCAGCACCTACCAGAGATAATGCTGTTCTTACACAGGACATTGGCCAAAGCCTCTGCCCCAGCCCCGCAGAGCCCATTATCCCGAAGATCCAGGCGCTTGATGTAGAGATTAGAAGTCAACGTGGAAGCCAGAGCCCGGACACCCTGGAAGAGAGCAGAGAGGTACCCGAGGGGCAGAGGGACACAGGACCCTGCCATCTCCTGCAGGGATGTCTGCAGGTCCAGCCCTCATCCCACCACAGCCTCCATCCTGTGCCGCGGGCAGGGGAGATGGGATGCGTGGCACAGAGGAAGGCTGGGAGCTTGTGAGATGGACTCAAGGACAAGATGGCACTGTCTCCTGCATCCTTCCTGCCAAACCTGGTTCTAGCATCCCTCAACAGATACCTGGGGCCCCAGGCCACGGTGCCGAAGGCTCAATTCAGAGGCACTCCCTTGGCGCAGAAGACGAGAAGCTGGCACAACACTATGGGCCTGGCAAGACTCCAGATAGAGGGTAGCCATGACCTGTTCTCCAAGCCCATGGGTGCCTAACAGTAGACAGGGGGGACAAAAGAGGAGCTCTACACGGGCACAGCCCCATCCTCTTTCCTGCCCTGTCAGTGGTTACCACACTCATAGTTCAGATGAGGACCTCATGACAAAGGAAAGAAAGAAAGAAAGAAAGAAAGAAAGAAAGAAAGAAAGAAAGAAAGAAAGTTACAGACCTAGTCAGAACCAATGGGAGCCTAACATTGAGGTGTATGCTGGCCCTATCCCATTGTATTCAGGTGTCACAGATCACATTCCCCGCTCCCCCAAAAGCTGGTCTCCAACTTGTTAGTTGAGGAGAGCCTCGAACTCTACCAACTGAGCTACATTTTCAGCCCATAGGTCATGTCTACAAACACCTTACTTACGGTGTTTAATAATTCTAAAATAATTCTAGACAAATTTAATACATCCATTAAAATTTTCCTATAGATTGGAAAGGCCAGCCCTGAACCCTTCCAGGTGGAACACACTGTCAGGGTGTTTCATTTACAGGTTATTTTGCAAGACAGTTCTAAGCATTGGGCCTCCTCGAGCCTCCAAGAAGGCAAGGGACTTGTCAGCTGCTGATAATGGAGGATGCGGCCCCACTGAAGGGTGCGGTCCCGCGCCAGTCGGACTCGCACCACCCTTGCGGGAGTAGTCCAACCAGGACCCCACCCGGAGGATTAGGCACCTTCTGCTTCCAGAGCAACGTGTGAATCTGCGGTGCAGAAATTCTTGGCCTCTAGGGTCTCTGCCTGACTCGCAGTGGCCGCTGCTTCTCTCTCTTGATCTTCATTCTTCGTAGACTCCTTGTCGGGGCCCTTCATGTTTATGCTCAATTCCCAGTCGGGGCGCAGAGATTGAGAGCGCACAGCTCACTAGCTGGAACTCTCCCCAGGGATGTGGGCCGTCCCTCTGACTTCATTGACCAATCGAAGTTGATTTATGGGCAACAGGTGGTCACTGGGGCCAGTAATAATGCTCCCCTCCCACCCCGCGGTCTCCCAGGAAACCGCGTGTTGTTTGCGGCTGCAGAAGCACCACGACCTTGGCACACTCCTCACCAGGGCTAACTACCGCTCATACTGCTGCCATGCACGGGGGTGGTCACCTCCGTGTTCTTTTCATGGACTTTTCCAGTCTGTGTTTTGGGGCAGGAGGAGGCTCTAGGGAAGACCTGAAGACCCTGTAGAGTCTAATAAAGGTTTTTCTCTGAAGCCACAACTATGCTGTCCCTGCCTGAGGAGCTCAGCTTCCTCTCGAGAGAGCTAATCTTTGCTATGCTGCTGCACCAGCAGACATCTCAAACCAACTTGATTCGTTGCACTTTGGAATATGCAAGTTTGAGTTCAGAGCCCCTCCTCTGGGCTTCTGTTACCTCACCTTGGTCACTGCCTACCCTGTAAAGAAGTGGAGTGGATGGGCAGGGACGACTACTCCTTTCTGTCTGTATAGGATCCAACCCAGGGACTCTGGCTGGGATGGGAGGCCTAGATCACCTGGGGTTTGGGACTGAGCCAGGAGTCAGATCCGGCCGAGTGGAGATGTCCCTTTAACATTGGCCTGGATCCCATGCATGGCTGTTCTGCTCCCAGTTCAGCTGCAGCTGAAGCAGCTGCCTGCTGACTCACGCACTAGGCGCCAGCAGGGACTGGGAACATGGCTTCTGCTGCCGTGGCAGCACTCGTGGGCTGGGGGCTTCTGGATTACAAGACAGAGAAGTATGTGCTGACAAGAAACTGCTGGGTGGGCGTCTCTCAGAGGCTGCTGCAGCTGGGAGTGGTGGCCTACGTGATAGGGTAAGAGAGCAGCCCCTGGCCAGGCTGGCTGACAGCTAGGAACTGGCTTTGAGAAGTCCAGCTGGTGGTAGAGTGGGCATGGGGGTGGTAAGAGGTGGTCAGTAGGGGGGGATTTTAGTCCATTCAGAAGACAGCAGAAGCCATGGGCCTACATATGGGACATTGGTCCCAGCTTCATCTTGGTCTCTGGGCACAATTGTGGGACTCCTGCCTTGAGATGCTGGGGGAGGGGGGCAGGAGGCAGCAATTCTTGGCATCTGTGAGCAATGGAGCCCTCAGGCTCCCCGAGAGACCGCTAGCTGGATGTCTGAAATGTCTTGAAGCAGGGAACTGGGTTTGCTGAGTGTGTGGGAGGCACTGACATGTGAAAAGTGGCCGTGCTGACAGCTCCATCTGAGGGCTCCACCTGGTCTGGGTCGAGAGCAAGAGGTGCATTAGGATGGAAGGGCGAGGCCCCCCCATGCTGGCCTAGGAGCCTCTGGAGGACACAAGACAGCCCAGAGTTATAGACCTAGCCACTCCTCATCCCATCACATGACACTGTCCATCACCTTCTCCCCAGGTGGGCCCTCTTGGCCAAAAAAGGCTATCAGGAATTGGACTTGGACCCCCAGATTTCTGTCATCACTAAACTCAAAGGGGTTTCCGTGGCCCAGATTAAGGAACTAGAGAACCGGCTGTGGGATGTGGCTGACTTCGTGAAGCCATCACAGGTAGGTCTGGAGTCCTTCAGCCACAGACAGCGGCCTCACAGCTGCTGGGCATGAGATACACGGGATGCCGGTGGGCTTGGGAAAGGGAAGGGCCTCTCAGGAGAGTGCCGAGTCAATCCAAACAATGGCTTTCTGGAATGCGGAGCTTCCCTGTAGAACTTTTTTTAAAAGGAAGGTTAGAGATAGAGTGGTAGAGAACTTGCCTGGTGGACATAACTTCCTGAGATCAGTTCCTAATACCATCAAGAAAAAAAAATCATACCCACCCGTCCACCACCCACACAAAGATACACCTGAAAAGGACTGAAGTATCTTGGGCACAAGATTTTTGCTTGGAGGTGAAAGGGCACAGGAGTTCAGGGTTTGAACTTTCTGGAGTTCCTTTGTTACCATTTAGGGATCTTGGGTCAGGTTTATTTTTTCCACTGGTGAAGGAATTAAAAGGCAAGGGGCTGGGGAGGTGGCTCAGCTCTTAAGAGCGCTGGCTGCTCTCACAGAGATATGGGTTCTTTCTGTTCCCAGGACTCACATGGAGCTCACAACTTTCTGTTGCCCCAGTTCCAGAGGAGTTCCAGTGCCCTCTTCTGTTCGCTGAGGGCATCGGGCACACAAACAGCACACATTCTTTCAGACACATTAAGTAATTAAATAAAACTACTCAACAAAAGGCTTAAGGGCAGGAAATAAGTTACAGTCAAATAAATCTTATTAAAAGTGAACGTGGGCTGGAGAGATGGCTCAGCGGTTAAGAGTATTGCCTGCTCTTCCAAAGGTCTTGAGTTCAATTCCCAGCAACCACATGGTGGCTCACAACCATCTTTAATGAGGTCTGGTGCCCTCTTCTGGCCAGCAGGCATACATGCAGACAGAATATTGTATATATAATAAATAAATATTAAAAAAAAAAGTGAACTGCTCCCCCCCCCCCCAGGCTTCCCAGGAGAGGGAAGGGAATCCAGAAACCAAAGTCCATTCTCCCTTGGAGGGCTGCTGGCCTTCAGTATTTGTGGTGGTGTAGGATGGGTGCCTGAGCCTGAAGTCAGGATGATTAGTTTACAGGAGGAATGTTGGCGATTACAACAAAGCAGTCCCACACTAGCTCAGAATAGAGTATAATAAAGGGTTCTTTATTTGGGGGTGGGTAGACTCACAAATCAACAGTCCTCTGCACAAGTAGGGAACAGGAACCAAATCCAGCAGCAGCAGCAGCAGAGAGAGAGAGAGAGAGAGAGAGAGAGAGAGAGAGAGAGAGAGAGAGAGAGAGAGAGAGAGAGAGCACATTTCTATATCTGTTTTTATAGCGCACACGGCCATGCCTAAAGTGGTCCAGCATCTCAAAGGCCATTGGCTGAAGGACTTCTCCCAATAGAGGAAGCTGATAGGCCCATAGATTCATACAAGATGAGACGTGTTCAGGACCAGCCTTAAACATACTGGACTGGTCTAGACCACTCATCCAGAAGGGGACCCTTCTGGCAGAAAAGAAATAAGCTTGCCAGGCCTTTGTCTTAGATAGGTGCAGGGAGGAAGAAGCTGGGCGTCTGCCATCTTGTGGGTGATGCATGGCTTTTCCTGTCTTTGCCTGTCAGGGTGTAATCTGGCTCCCTCTCTCCCCTCCCCCACTCATCTTCCCTTCTCCCTCCACCCAGCTGACCTGGCTCCGACTATCAGTTGCTGTGCGACATCTCCAGAGGAGACATAAATAAATGTCTGTAGCCTCTCTTAGCGCACCACCACGAGCCAGTTTCATTCCAAATTAGTTCTGTGAACCAAAGAGTGATTGCGGTCCCCTTTAGGCGCGTTAAGTGAAGGGTATTACGGGAGCGTGGGTGACGCAAAGGTAACTACAGAGCCTTGACCATATTCTGGCTGTAGGTGGCGCTAGCTTTCTGCACAAGCACTCCCCTGCCGGACTGTTGCGCCCGTGATCAGCTGTCCCTGTCTGCCCCACTTTCGATCTTCAGTGCCTAGGTTCAGGAGGTTCTTGGGAAAAAAAATGGATGAGTGCATGAGAGTTTGAAATGAAGCCCAGAAGGAAGATATGGATAGAGGCATGGCGCTTCCTTGGGCTCAGGAAAGGCCGTAAACCCGGCCAGCTTTGCCTGCCTTGCTGGTCATCACTGCAGCACAAAGCTGGTAACTAGATGGGGCCAAAAAATAGTCCCGCGGAATCCAGGCTACCAGGCTGAGCTATATATACCTCAGCGGGAGAGCACTGGCCCAGCAGGCCTGAGATACTGGGTTTCATTCCCAGCGCCGAGAGCAACAAAAAGCAAACAAAACAGGCTGTCAGCTTCTGGCCCCTCAACTGGTGGAGTTCAACTCAAGCCAACCTCCAGTCTTGCCTTCTAGGGAGAGAACGTGTTCTTCCTGGTGACCAATTTCCTCGTGACACCAGCTCAAGTCCAGGGCAGATGCCCAGAGGTTAGTCTGTCAGAGCCTCTAACGTACCCCTGCTTCTCTCACCAGCGCCCACTCCTTTCTACTCCACACAAGGCTCAAGGCTGATTCTGAGCCTGGTTTATCTATGCCAGGCGATGGGCTAAATGTTTCTAGAAATCATTTCACCAAGTCTTTACATCTGTCGTCTACCAGAAGTACTATAACTCCCATTAGGTGATTGGGGTACACAAGTTTCAGTCACTTGTTCAAAGGCACCCCAAGTGTGGGTTACAGCAGCAGACCATGCTGGTCCTGCCTCTGGGTTACAGCCAGGCACACACTCAGGAGGGCACTAACAGCAGGCGTCAAGCTGGGAGAGCACTTTTCTTTGTCAGCTTTTAGTAAAGTACCCTGAGTCAGCTTTCGTCTGGGGAATGAGGTAGCACACTTCTGCTTTCACTTTCAGCTAATTTATGTTCTCTGGGTGTTTTTCGGCCCACGTGTGTTCATGTTTGAGCCTTCTGCCTCATGCTTATCTGTTTCTCAGGCACCCCCACCCCCAATCTCATCTTTTCCATTTGGAAATATTCCAGACAATCTTTCAAAGGACACACTAGCTCTCACTAACCGTGGCTTTTGTGTGGAAGTCATGACCCCGTCCACTCAAGCCCACTCAAGCCTTTGCTCACTGGACTCCAGGCTCTGGTATCTGGTCACATTATAGTTTCAGGGGGTGTCCCACGCCCACAGTTGAGCCCTATCCATAAAGGAGGTGATGCATGTGTGTCTCTCGGGGAGCCCAGACCATACCCCACCTCCCCATGTGTAGAGGATGTTGACTCCAGGTTTAACATGTAGCTCCAAAACTTCACTAAACCTCCACATCCACTTTTTAGAAAGCACATGGTTTTTCCTTCTTCCTTGTCTGAGGCTTCTGGCTCTTCCAGTGAACCTCCCATGACTGGGAAGTAGCTCACCAGGTCTGATGACTCATTCCCCGAGGATAACCAGAGTTCCTGCCAGCTCTTCTTGGAAGATTAGTGACCTGTCCCTCCAAGAATGTGCTCAATAGAGTGTCATATCCTTCTGCAAACCTTTCTTGAGCATCCCTGCCCCCCCATCTAGGTCAGGCCCTGTGCTCAGTTGGCAGAGCTCCAGTTCCCTGTACCTCAAGCTGCAGCTCTGGCCCAGCCAAGGCAGCCGGTTCTACAGTGCCCATGAGGCAGAGGCTGCAGTGGGGAGACTTAGGGAAATGTATGGACTAAATCTTAAAGGAGCTGGTGACTTGGGTCACTGTGGCTGCAACAGGATGCCAGGGCAGAGGGCACCCCTTGGGCAGAGGCCCAGGCTGTGTAAGGAGGTGAGGTATCTCCAGGGATACCTGCTGCTCAGTGAGCTGGAGCACAGACTAGAGCTAGGTCACAAAAAGCACAACCCAAGATCTCCTGGACCCTCTGAGTTCTGCTAAGAAGCTGGACTTGATGTGTGAGCAGAAGGTGGCCAGAGTGTGGTATGGAAAAGGACCCCCAGTCTCTCATTCCTCAGGCGCTGAGTAGAGGTGCACACATCTCACCATGGAGTCTGGTTGGAGGATCTGGAGACAGACACAGTGAGACACAGGTTGGGAAAGCAAAGGCAGAGAAAGTGGTACTACTGTGACACCTGCTACCAGTCACAGTCCCATCCTTCACAAAAGTCCTAAGTCTCCTGGCTTTTCAGTCCCTCGACCATTCTTGCTTCCATGGTGCTGTGGTCCTCCTAGCGCTCCACATGAGCTGAGTCTCCACAGGGGTTCTTCCTCTCTCAGGTTGGGGACCCCCCGGAAGCTACCTTTACCTCTTAGTGCTCCCCATGACTCTTTGGGTTTATGGAGACACAGTGTCCGTGTTTGGCAGAAAAGACTGGCCTTAGCGGGTGTGTGGGACTTTCCTCCCTGCACAGCCCCCTATGACTGTAGGCCCTGATCTTCGATAGCTACGCTGCCTTATATTGGGCACCACTAGCCTGTCATTCAGTGGTTCTTCAGCACCACCTCTGCTCTGTTATCCCAGCTGTGCAGAAGAGCTGGGCCTCTGTGAACTCTTAGGGACGGAGTTGTCGGGAGAGCGGAGTCTCCTCTGTTCTTGGAATACAGCCCTGTACCCTATCTCACAGAAGGATGTTGGTTTCTCCCTCCAGCTTACAGCTTGTCACTTCCCTGTGCTTCCCGACCCAGGATATCCTGGGAGGAATCCCAGGGGTCTTGCCTTGTAGTCTGTGCGGTTGGTGACTAGAGTCTCTCTTACCTCAGCACCCTTCCGTTCCTCTGGCCAATTGCTGGGATGACACGGACTGCCCTGAAGGGGAGACAGGAACGCACAGCCATGGTAACTGTGGGCTTGGTCCTCTGGCACCTCTACTGGAACCAGGGGAGGGGAGGGAATGCTGTGTGGTCCCCGCAGACCCTGCTGTGCTTGTCTGTGTGCCCTCTCATCCTGCCAACAAGCCCATGCCCCGCACCCTCCTCAGAACCCACCGAGACTTGAAGCCTTGGAGCTCACTTTGTGTTTTCAAGGCATAAAAACGGGTCAGTGTGTGGTGTTCAACGGAACCCACAGGACCTGTGAAATCTGGAGCTGGTGCCCGGTGGAGAGTGGTGCCGTGCCCAGGTAAGTCTCCTTTCTCTCCCAGGGGAGGGCCCAGGATACACAAACTGATGCCAGTATATCATCTCTCTTCAGGAAGCCCCTCCTAGTTCAGGCCAAGAACTTCACACTTTTCATAAAAAATACTGTCACCTTCAGCAAGTTCAACTTCTCCAAGTAAGCATGGGCAGGTCTTGGTTGAGCCCAGATCCTCCATGCCTCTTGGGTCATCTGATCCCTATCACTGTCCTTTTTAGAACCAATGCCTTAGATACCTGGGACAGCACCTATTTCAAGCATTGTCGCTACGATCCACACTCGAGCCCGTACTGTCCAGTTTTCCGCATTGGGGACCTTGTGGCCATGGCTGGAGGGGACTTTGAGGACCTGGCATTGCTGGTAAGTCATCTGGGGGCAGAGTTCCTACAGCTCAGGGTTAAGGTCTCACGCCCATCTACCAGGGGAACAGAAATGTGTTGTGTGCAGGGTGGTGCTGTGGCCATCAGAATCCACTGGGACTGCAACCTGGACACCAGAGGATCTGACTGCCATCCCCAGTACTCCTTCCAGCTTCAGGAGAGGGGCTACAACTTCAGGTATGGCCCTTGCTGCCATAGTCCTGGCTTGCTGTTCCTGGCCTAGTACCCTCTCCACCTATCTCCCTGCGACCACAGATCAGAGCACACCCAACTCAGACCGCAGGATCTCTACTGTATGTGCAAGGGTCCCACGGGTGCGCCCAGGCCCCAGCTCCCTTCCATCTCCCCTCACTCACCTGTCAGTACAGGCTTCCCACTGCAGATCTTGGCACAGCCTCTCGCAGATGGCCCTGCATCTCCCGAGCACAGATACCTTTCATCTTTAATTTCCCTATAGGACTTTATCTAAAAGCTTCTCAAAAAAATATCAGTGGAAAAATTCAGACTAGTGGCACATATATTCATATACTTCTGATCTGGGTTTTGATAGCGTTGCTTTTTCTTTCCCTGGCAGCACTAGAGATTGGACCCAGGCCCTCAGGACTGTTTGAGAGTAAATGTCAGATACTGGATCCTCATCCCTTCCCAACACTCTCAAGGGATGTTTCCACATGACCACTGTCCCATTGTCGCAGAAACTCTGGACATTGGCTAGCTGGTCACAGTGCATGATTGTAATCCTAGTCCCAGCCCTTGGGCAGCAGAGAAAGGAGGATTAGGGGTCAGAGTTGTACTTGGCTTTATAGCAAGTCTGGGGCAACCTGGCAAATGGAGGAGGGACAGACGGAAGGAGAGGAGGGTGGAGAAAGAGGAAGGAAGCTAGGAAAAGGTGCTGGTAGATTAAATCTAAGATTTTATATTCCCCCCACTGTGTTAGCAATGTTCCCAAATCTGTATTTTACAATCCTTAGAGGCACTAAGAGACCTAAAATTGTAGGTATTGTCATGTTTTCGGTTTCCCAGCTAGAATCTTGGGCTCCTCCTGCCACGTAATATCATTTTAGCACACACTGGAACAGGTTATTGGGCTTGGCTCCCCAGCTCTTACAACCTTATAGGGTGGCTTCTGTGCCCGTGGGCCCTTACTGGCACCTTTCTCTCTGCGCAGAGTCCCTTCCCGAGCCCCCTGCCACAGCACCTTCGTTCACTTTCATCCCCAGTTCTGTGCTGAAAGGAATTGCAGCCTAGGGGTTCTGACAGCCCTCACCTCCACCCCACCTTCCTTCTCCCATACCTGCTGCCAGCATCTTTTTCGGCTCCATGCCCCTCCCTGACCCTCAGTAGGCAGCAATCTTCCTCCACTCAGGCCCTAATCAGGTTCTGGGTTGCTTTCCCCTGTCCTTAACACCTACACGGGGCCTAAGATTTAGGACTTAGGGTTGGGCTGGTAAAGTCCATGGATAGATAATCCAGCCTGAAATCCAGCATGCAAACCAATGGAGCCTTCTCTGCTCTCCCCAGAACAGCCAATCACTGGTGGGAAGCCTCGGGTGTGGAGGCCCGGAGCCTGCTCAAGCTTTATGGGATCCGCTTTGACATTCTTGTCACTGGGAAGGTAAAGTTTAGACCAGAGGAAGGGCTGTGGAAGCTTAGGGGGACAGCCCCAGCCCCAGAGACTCAACCCGGGTCTCTCAGGCAGGGAAGTTTGCACTCATTCCAATGGCCATCACAGTGGGCACTGGAGCAGCTTGGCTGGGCATGGTAAGTCTGAATCTAAGGTTGATTTGGGCCGCAGTCCCTGCCAGCCAGGGACTGCTGGCACTCACTGAACCCGGGTGAGGGCTTGGCTTGATGGGGGTGAGTTGAGGAATCTGGAACATGATAGGTCCTGCCTCTTCCAGGTCACCTTCCTCTGTGACCTGCTGCTACTGTACGTGGATAGAGAAGCCCGTTTCTACTGGAGGACCAAGTATGAAGAAGTGAGCTGTGGGCCTGCTTGTGTCCCAGAGCGGAAGCCACTCTGCCTCAATACTGGGTTCTCCCACACTTTGGGCTATGTTAGCCTGATCCCTAATCTGTTGTCTTTGTAGGCAAAGGCTCCAAAGGCAACTATCAACACCACATAGACTGAGCTGGAATTCACACCTGCTCTGCTGCTCAAGTGTCTCGATGGGGGTTTGCACCTGCCCCATGTCTGCTGCTGCTGGGATCCAGATGTCCGTGCACCAGGGACCTTGTCTGGGTGGCTGTCATCCACGGGCCTATCCATTTCTGAGGCTTATAGCCACTCCCTGCAGGTTAAAGTTTAGGGGTTGGGAAGGATGAGGGTTCTGGCTTGAGAAAATCAAGGACAAATCTCCAGCAGGACTGCAGAGGAGCTTGGGGGGAGTCCACCAGACTCCCCATGCAGACCCCCCTCCTAGGTCCTGCCTGAGAGAGGGAGAAGGCAATGTGGCCGAATGATTGATTGCCTAATTCCTTGGGACTCTCTGTCTTCTGGGCGACTCTGCCATCCATTTCAAGCCCCCTTGACCTGACTAGGTTTCTCAGGGGCCTAGGAAGTTGAGAGGCTGCAGATCTAGGCCTTCCTGCCATCAAGACGTTCCTGACAACCTTGATGCATGCTGAAGCACCTGCCTGCCGGAGGCTCTACCTTTGGCCCCGGTCAGAGTGCTAGAGTTTCGAGGTATGATCTCTATGAAGGCCTCCGTGTTTCCTCAGGAATAGCTGGTTCTGGATCTGTATGCACACAGGGCTTCAATTCTTCCCCAGTTATAGACTTTCCCCATGCCCCAGGGCCCATAGAAAGGACGACAGGCACAAGGGCTGCAGAAGCACAGCCCTTTCTTGGTCCAAGTGTGGGGCATAATTTATGGAGTGTGTGCCTGTGGAAGGAAAGAGGCAGCTGTGTTATGGATGCACGGTGACCGAGGAAGTTCCGGAGCCGAGGCCAAAGCTGCACCAGGGTCCAGGATCACCTGGCTTCCGGATCCTCCAAAAGGATGCCGCTCAGCCCTCAGGGCTCTGGCCTCCAAAGTACAGAATGGGAAGGCCTGGTTACTGCAGGTGGGTCATGTGGACTCAGCAGTCCTAGGGGATCCCAAGAACCCTGGTATCACTGCTGAAGTAAAGCTTGCCAAAGCAAGCAGCTTTCTGTGTAGTCCTTAAAGAGAGGAATGGGAAAAGGGAGATGTCCATCTTAGACAGTGCCCAGTCACGGGAACCCCAGTGTGAGGTACAGAGGAGACCTGGGACTTTCCCCTCTCTGAACTGTGGCCCCACAGCTGTCTAGGCTGAAGGCAGTGGTGCAGGCCCAATTACCTGTGTATCCACGTACACAGAGGTGTACCGCTCAGGTGCTACTCCAAGTGTGCCTCTCGTGAACACTGTTGCCCTGGAGATGAATAAGTAATAGAGACCCCAAAGGCTTCATCTGAAAACTCTCCCAGTGTATACAGAGACAGTAAAAGAGTGAGCTGTGGCCTGGAGCCTGGGTTTGGAAACAGTGGTCAATGCAGTCTGTACATAGTGTGTACTCCAAGGGCAGCTGTGTGGGCCATGCAGGAATGTGCTGGGGGGAGGGTCTCGTGGACATGCACCTGTGTTTAGTGCATTTCGATGTCCCTAGGCAGTCCTTGGACACGTGCTTTGACTCCCAGGAGCCCAGGAAAATTGAGAGACATGGACACCCAATGCATTCTTGAATTATCTTCCTTGAGCCCAGGTCGTGATATATATACCCCGCTAGAGGACATGCCAGGGATCTGGGGATATATGTCACTAGTGGAATCCTTGCCTAACAATATCAAGTGCCACTAACACATACACACACATGCACACACACATACACACATATATATGCATGCACGCACACACAAACACCCTTACAGAGGACACGTGAGGAATCTGTCCCTGTCTTGTCACATGCCCCTCTTTGTATTATGCATGCATCTTCTCTCCCCAGAGAGACTTCTGCTAGACTTTCTGTGTCCCTGTTGTAGACCAGGGACAACTGTTTGGTTCTTCAGGCAAGTAAGAACTCAGTGCCACAAAGAATGCTACAGTGTACACAATAGCTGGTTATAACACTAGCTGATTAGTTATTATTGTGGGTCCCAGGGGCTGGAGCCTCGTCCTTGCCCACTCTGCCCACCTGCCCAGGTATCCAGAGTTGATCATAAATAGGAAGGCACTGGGTAGTGAGTCCACAAAAGCACTGGCCAAGGCCGATCTCATGAAGACAGAAGGCTCAGCTCCTGGGAACTGACAATACTCCCAGCCCAGTCTGGGCAGGCTTCAAATCCAAGCTTCCTTTGGCAGGCAGCTGCCAGTTCTTCTGGTCTCTGGATGTGGGCGATGTGGGGCCCTTGATGAGCCAGCCTCACAGACTGGCCACTACTCTGCACAGCCTGACTCCTGGACCGGGGCCTGGCTGGCAGGCTGCACAGCTTGCACGGTTTCCTCCAGGCTGCCACTGGGGAACACCACGTAGTGTGCAGTAGTCAGCTCCAGGGGCTCCCTCTGGTTCTCCTTGCTGTGCCAGATGCCATAGCCAAAATACACGATAAGTCCTGCAGGAGTGGGTGTGAACCTGAGGGGCAGCTCCCAACCCCACCTGCCCACTTTATCCTCCCATTGTAGACCTGCGTCCAAGCCCAGGCCCCACTCACCAACCAGCAGCCAGATGACAAAGCGCAGCCAGGTCAGGTAGCTCAGCTTCAGCATGAGGCAAATGTTGAGAAGGATGCTGAGGGCTGGAGTCAGGGGCACCAAAGGGATCTGAGGGTGCAAGGGTCAGGCTGAGCCTGGCTGAAGGATAGATGTGCCAGTCCAGAGCCTGACATGCTGTGGAAGTCCACAGAACCCTTCTTCATCTCTGGAGATTCACCATGCAGAATGGTGGAGGAAATGGGGATGGATAAACCTGCCTCCCCAGCCCCACTGAGCCCTTGTGCCTTCTCAGGTAACATGTAAGGCTGGGGCAAAGGAAACAGGTTGGCCTAAGAAGAAAGAGTATTGGTGAGGAACCGGGTGGGGGATGGAAATATACCTGAAAAGTGTCTTGCTTCTTTTGCTGCTGGTGAGCCCCCAGGACCAGGAGGCTGAACAGAAAGACAGCGCCACTGACAGCCAGCAGCAGGACATAGCCCCACCGTGGGAGGTGTAGCTCTGAGCTCCCGAAGACCAGCACACACGCCAAGGAGATAGCCGAGGCTACCAAAATGCCAAGCGCCCAGGCCACAGCAGTTCCGGGGCTGCATCCATTCAGGAAGCCCAGGAAGGGTTTCAGGGCTGGTCGCAGCTGCCCAGGCTCAGACATAGAGGTCTGTGCAGCACCGACTAGTTGTATGTGATCGGAGAAGGAGTCATACTTCTTAGCTGTGGGGCCAGGACTGGCGAGGCACGGGGAGCTGGGTGGAGAAGCTTTCTGGAAACGCAGCACAATGATGCTGGTGGCTACAAAGGTGTAGGCCAGCAGGGTGCCGATGGATAGGAACTGGACCAGTGCCTCAAGGTCCAGCAGCAGCGCCAGCAGAGCCATGAGGACCCCAAACACCAGGATTCCCACTACAGGCACCTGTGTCCGGGGGTGCACACGGGCAAACACCTGGAAGAAGAGCCCGTCGGCGGCCATGGCATAGACAATGCGAGGCAGGGAGAAGAGGTTGCTGAGCAGGACCGTATTCATAGCTGCAGCAGAGCACAGGGGAGCAATCAGCATGGCAGAGAAGCCCAGCAGGAGCTGCTGCTGTTTTGAGGGGATTAGCTTCTCACCTCCCACCTAGGAAGGGGACACTTCCATTTATGTCCAGGCCCATTAAAGACCCTTTGGGAGCTGGCAGTCTGCCAGGGGAGGACCTGTGAGCACGTGCTCCAAACTGATATTCTGCGCACCATTTGTGGGGAGAGGGGCTCTGCCAACAAGTCCCTGAAAACCAGTGTTTTCGTGAGCTCATTATACAGGTAGTAAAACTGCATAGAAGTATTTTGAGAGGCTTTGGGCAAGGCCCACTACCCTGTCCCCTCCCACCCTACCCAGAAGGGGCCCTTACCACAGATGGAGCCAACTGCTACAATGAAGCCAGCCCAGCTGTAGCCCCGCCTGTAGAAAGCGTCAGCAAGTGCTGAGTCCGGGTCCAGACTGTGCCAAGGAACCATGAGGGTCAACACAGTGGAGACTAGAATATAGGCACCAGCTGCCAGGCCAAGGGAGATGGCGATGGCCATGGGCACAGCCCACCGTGGGTTTTTGGCCTCCTCACTGGAGGCAGCAATGACATCAAAGCCGACAAAGGCATAGAAACAGGTGGCGGTGCCCGCCAGGATGCCAGAGAAGCCAAAGGGTGCAAAACCACCCTCTTCTGGGCTCCAGTTGTGCGGGCGGGCCAGGACGAAACCCAGGATGATGATGAAAAGGATGACAACCATACTGATGGCTGAGAAGGTGTGGTTAAGCCAGGAAGAGACTCGGGCTCCACAGGAGACAAAGGCAGAAGCCACAAGTAAAATGCCGGCGGCCAGAAAATCTGGATAATGGGCCAGGAAGGGCACCTGCCAGACACCCATGTGAGACTCGGTGAAGTTGCGAATGCTGTGGTTAAAGATGGCATCCAGATAGCCACTCCAGGCGCGGGCCACAGCAGCACCTCCAATGAGGTACTCCAGGAGCACATTCCACCCTATGAGGAAAGCCCATATCTCACCCATGGACACGTAGGTGAACAAGTATGCAGAGCCGGTACGGGGCACCCGGGCTCCAAATTCTGCATAGCATAGGGCTGCCAGCAGGGAGGCTACAGCAGCCACCAAAAAGGACACCAGCACAGCAGGGCCAGCCATGTCCTTGGCCACCGTGCCTGTGAGGACATAGAGCCCAGACCCCACCATGCCACCCACACCCAATAGGGTTAAGTCCAGTGTGGATAGACAGCGCCGCAGTGATGTCTCCATGCCAGACTCTTCCAGTGGCTTCAGACGGTTCAGTTTCTGGCAGAAGTGTGCCAGGCGGGCAGCGCTGGGCAGTCCCCGGGCCATGGCAGACGGCTGACGAATCCTGAGCCAGCTTCTGGAAACTGCTGGGGACAGACAACAGGAATAACCAACCAGCCAGCCTCCACTCTTTCGCAGACTGTCCATCCAGGTCTCTCCTCTCCCTAGGAACCAGGACACCTGCACCAGGGACCTACCTTAGAAGGCTTAAATGGGACTGTGTGTTGAGGAGGGGGTGCAGGGGACCGGGGATTGTGGGCAGGAGGGATTGAAAGCAT